CTCCTCCCCTCAGTCCTAGCTTTCAGCCCTGAGTGCAGAATAGAAGATGTCACAGAGGAAGAACAGAAAAATTTTTAAGGGAATTGGCTTCAATTGTTGCTTTGCTGAGCTTTAACTGTCTGCCAAGAATGGCGTTTCACAATGAAGATGCCGGCAAAATGTCTAGGAATGCACCAGATCCACGGTGAAACGCAGAAACCTATCATCCAGAAGACGAAAGAAATGATATATTCCAAAAGATCATCCATAGTTCCGGTTCCGTTCCAAAAATGAAGCCAAACCATCAATTATATTAAAGTCTGTGGACAGTTGATCCATCCTGATTTATCGTAACTGGAACATGGTTTCAGAGCGACTTCGAAGAACGTACCCCGTCCTGTGTCTTCTGCCGTATTAGAACGATTACTATCGCCCTGCGAACCGTAGACCGGATAAGGTAGCACCATTGATTCATGTAATTTATACTATCAAGCAGCAAATCTGACGCTGAAAATTATCAGGACTATTATGACAGAAGACACCGGGCGGAATAAGTTTATCTGTGTCTCCATGACATTAAAAACAAGTCACGACAATTAGGTCAAACTAATCCTCTTCACTTTAATTGGATATATCCTCGTGCGCTATTCCGTCCCTGCAAATGGAACCCTGTATGTATAAGATGTAATCACCCTATTTCGTTTAAGGTGATGAAGAACTGGCAGTTGAATTTTCCCACAATGCTATGAATAGACCTCATGTTTTCATTGAATCTCACAGAGCCTTGCTTCCCCAAAGCCAGTTTAAATAATCACTCATTCATCACCATAAACGAAACAGGGTGAGTATATATCATATAAATTATATACGGAGAGCCTCAAGAGCCTACTTATAAACGAAAAATATGTAAAAGTGGGTTGACCTCATTGTCTCAACTTGGTCTTGTGTTCAGGGAGACCCGAGGCCACAACATCTTGGTCTTCACATCTTCAATGAAAAATATGTAACTTTATATCATTTTTCTGCCCTGTCTTCCCATCTCCGAATTGGGTTCCCCAAGGTGTGCGGAGACCGGAGCTCCGGCAAGCATTACGGTCAGTACACTTGCGAGGGCTGTAAAAGCTTCTTCAAGAGGTCCGTCCGCAAAGCGGCTGCCTATGTCTGCAGAGCTGGCGGAAGGTGTCCGGTCGACGCTCAACGACGCAATCAGTGTCAAGCCTGTCGGATGGCCAGGTGTCTGGCTGCCGGAATGAAACGAGAGGGTGAGTTTGTTCTTGTTTAAGAAAGATTTTTTACTGCAAATATAGTATGCATACTAAATAAAAAGGTACCACAATAACAGGCCGCCGCCAGAAATGACCAAATAACCATATTTTTAGTCTAAAGGCAAGGTTAATCGCTGTTGAGACGGTAAAACTTAAGGCCATCTTCTCCTTCGTTGAGGCATTTAAAGTGGAACTTCGGTCATGAAAGACCAACGAACCTGAGGTCAATCTAAACTTGGTCAGAAATGTATATTTTTAGTCTAGAGTCATTAAAGCTTCTTTTAAGAGCCATTTTTAGGGTGTCTATCAAAAAAGATCTAATCATATAATTTTTGGAAAATTCAGTTATCAGTCACCTGATTACCTCATATATATGTTCTAGTGATAATCACGAAAACCCACTTATCAACTAAATATAAGTGATGTAATCGATTGCTATAGCAAAGGCAACTTTGCCTTATCGACAATCCCATTACAGAATGTGATATAGGAAATTGTCTGACTTTCTTTCTGCCCTGTGAACCAACGCCACTAGTGAAAATGTAGCCTAAAGGTAAACGTTTCGAGATGATACGTTGCACTGGACTAGTTCGATTCCTGCTGGCAAGGTCAAAACTACAGTCCATCCATTGTGGGAAAATTCGATCACCAGTCCTCCACCACCTTAAACTAAATATTGTGAGTACATATCATAAATGTTATTTGAGTTACTCCCAGATTTTTGCCTACGAGGGCGAAGAGGCTAACAGAAAGGCATGGGATGAAAGCGCAAATAAATTCAGCAATTCTGGAACCTCTACATTTAGGGGATAGGCAATGCGTTCCACCTTATGCATCAATGATAGTGAGTTCCTATGTTGAAAACTCTTTGCAGCTATTACC